CCCCAAAACCCCAAAACCCCAAAACCCCTTGTTGTAGAATATTAGGTATAAGTTGATTATGAAATCAATGATTAAAAGATAATTTACTTTCAAATTCCATTCATCTAGCATTAATATGCTTTCAATTTTGAAGCAGAATCATATTACCCATTCTTCTCCACTACCTTCATAATCACTCAAAGGTTAGCCTCCTCCACCTATCCAGTCCTGCTCAGGTGGTTCATCCTATGATATATCCTATTTTGTTGTTCTCTTTTTTACAATCACACTTTGATTATTCAAGTTTGACTTTACTGCTCCGATTTTGCTTCCTTTTTGCATGATTTTGCTCGTAAGATTATTTTTCTATCCAACATTCCTTGTTGGGGCTATATTCTTCTCTGGTTTATGATTCATCTGCCTCTGAGTTTTTGCCCCATTTTTATTCTAAGATGCTTTAGTATTGTTAATTGTAGTCTTGGTTTGATAAGTATTCAGATTCGACTTGTTGACCTGATAATAATCAGTTGGTGGCTTGTCAAGTTTCATTAAAATGTTGCCTTAAATAGATTTCATCAGGTTGTTATTTTTATTCAAATTATCTGAGTTTGTAGCATTCCCATAAGTATTAGTCTATGGCTTTAATTTAATGTTGGTCTGTTACTGTTCGACACCCCATCCTTTTTTCATCTGAGTGATCTCCTCATTTTCAAAGTGACTCTTCAATTGCATCTAATCATTTGCTTTTCTCTTAGGTATTGAGTTCTTAGTCATACCAAATATAGTATTTTTGGATGTTTAAGTATCATTAGCAAGAGATATTGTATTGTTATGTGAAGGTAGAGAGGAAATGTTACCGTTGCCACTTGCACCACGGGCTTAGGTCCCAGGAGGACTCAAAGAAGATGTATTCTGCATTCTTGAATTATTCAGTCTAAAGGTTGAGTTGCCTCGAGATTTAGAATTCTTTGAAACTCTATCTGGGGATGTTCCTAAACTAGGGAATCTCTTGTATATATTTTCTTCAATTTCTTTTTCCATTTATTCTCTCAATTATTGCTGCTTTGCTCTCTCCCTGTTTTTTCTATATTCTCTGACCAGTCTAGTTAGGAATTTGGCTTTAATCTATTCATCTATGTCCTCACTAGATATGACTGAGCCTTTAAGGATCGTATCATTGCTTATTATCTGCTAATAATCATCCTACTCATCATCCTCTGCAAGTCTCTCTTAATGATCATCCAGTATCTTGATTATAGCCATAAGGTTCTATTCTATACGCTTGTTGAGTTCTTAACGCATCCTCTCCATATTTTTTAAGTTTTAAGTCTATTTTTTCTACTTGACTAGGTCTTGGTGGTCACTCTCTACTTAGCGCTTAGCATGCTTAAGTTCATCAATATTCTTTAAATGCTAGACAATCATCTACTCATATTCTGGGAGTGATATCTAAGATAAACTTGGATTCTGTTCTATTCTAATGTTACTTTTTTGCTTTTTAAGTCTAAGTTGTGGGGACTCATTGGTTATGAATGCAGCTACCTAAATTGAGTGCTAATTGATGCCACCCTTTAATATAGATGTTTAAGGAGGAGGAAGGTTCATTACGGATGATGGCCCGTTAAATGTCTTTAAAATTTCCTTGGTCATAGACTAATCTGCCACTGAGAGCTGTACCTCGCTTATTACTGAGAGATCATTATTGTTGAATTTGTCTGCTTGGCTATATAGTCCATTTTGAAACAATCCACCATTCCTGTCTCTTTTAAAGGAGCTTTGTCTGTCAGTGGAGCTGGAGTTGTCTCTTTTATAATTGTTTCCTTTTCCTCCCTTTAATATATTTATGTACTCCTATCTCTTTAATTCTTCTATACTAAGTGGCTATTGATTATGGCCTAAATTTAGAATGTTTTCAGTCTATTTCCTAGTATTTAGTGCATTCCTCTTGAGGTTTTCTAACTCCTCTTTACTCTCACTGTGCTTGTTAATACCATCTATTATAGTTTTTCTAATTCTACTCTATGTCAATCTATCTTCTTGCTGAGTCATTTACCTTGGTCTTCGTTCATCGAAAAACTCCTCTGAGTTCGAGTTATTGTTTACATCAGTAACATAGTTATCCCCTCCATTCCTTTAATCAAATAGGTTAATTTTTTAGATCTCCTGATTAAGTAAATGAATGTCCTTTTTGCTTTTAATTTAACTCTGTCTCTACTAAATCCCACCTATCTACCTTAATGACTGCAGTTTTTATAGATTATTTTTGCTATTTTCTGCATCTACTTATTCCTCATCATTTGAATCAATAGGAGAAGCTGTAGAGGGAGATGTCTCAAGTACACCATCAAATGCCATCCCATTTAAATTTTTACTAAGCTCCCATTTCTTCATATTGTTCATTCTTTGAATCACTATTACACTCAGAGTTTATTTAACTTACATTTATCGATTGGTACTAGGCCACTCAGTGCTAATAGATACATTTCATCACTTAAATTTTACTGATTCACTTCAATTTCAACATAATTGTCCAATATCTTTTTCTATATCTTCCTCTACAGCTTAGACTCTCTACATTTGTTAGTTATAATAACTTACTTTGCCATGGAGAGCTGCCTACTATAAGGTCCCAAATCTCTGAAAAACATTGGATCAGCAATTTCAACCTATTCTTATATAGTTATTGACTGCAATGAAGGATCTGTTCCTCCTTCCTTTTCCTTAGAATTATTATTCTACCCTAATGCTCTGCCAAACAATTTTTCTAATGGATTAGGAGTAGTTTGATTAATCTGATATTGAATATTTTCCTTTGCACTAACCCAACTCTCTACCTCCATTTAGTCTGTAAACAGGTCTTCTACAAATTTCTCAAGCGTTTTTATCTTTCGTTTAGTGCTTAAACCCTTTAGCACTTTTGAGTCTTTGCCTAAATGCTCTGGGTTTTTTAATAGCATATCTTTGAACGCCTACTTTTTTGTCTCGATTTCTTATTGTAGCTTTATAATACTAGCATTAGTATCTTGAGAATTTGGGATCGAGATTATTTTACCCTAATCATTGATTTAAATCTCTTGAGGAAGAGAAAATATAGTCTCTATATTCATTGTCAGAGGGGAAAGTTCATCAAAATTTGTGATTTTTTTCTTTAAGCGAATCCATTCTAGCTTCTCAGCAATCATTTACTCCTTAACTTCATATTTTTCCTTATCGTCCTTCTACGCTTTCTATGAGTCTAATAATTATTATTATCTATATATTTTAATTATTACCTTAGCTAACAGCATTTTCTCCAAGTTAGAGTGATAGTCCGTTTCCCTAAAGATTATGTAAATCTCTTGGCTGATTTCTCTTCATCTCTATCATTTGAAAACAAAAATTTATATAATTTTAACCTTGACGATTGAATCCTTAATCTTGCATTTCATCTCCGATTTACTTGTTTATATCATTTGCAACATTAGATTGAATGAAATTATAATTAGCTTATTCCTAAGATAAATCTTCTAAGAAACTCCCGATGCCCATCTATGCCTTTTAAAACTTTTTTTAATCATCCTCACTTAATTGCTCAATTGCTTTCTACATTAATGTCATTCCTATCTGACTACTATTAAAGCTCTCATCCATATTATTAGGATTATTATTCTAGTTCATGCTATTTTTGGCATTCGCATTATTCAAATTGAGATTAATCATTTCATTTTGGGCATAATTTTCTAACTGATTTAACAGCCCATTTTAGAACTAATTAAGCATGTGTGAAGGTGAGTGAGCTTATTAATTATCCATAAGCTTAAGCTACTTCATAAACTCTTCCTTGTAGAAATTTTCCTTAGATTAAGACAAATCTAGATTATCATTATTGTTTGAGTTCTGCTTGTCTTCTTTGTTAAAAATATTTCGCAGTTAATCAGCTCTTGACTTGTTAATCCTTTCTAATTCGTTTTGCATTTTTATTTATTACTTTCTAATCATCATTAATTCTCAGAATAAAGTTTAATGGGGTTTTGGGGTTTTGGGG